TCTTGGAGTCCAGCCTTGTTGGTATTATTTTGATGGTGTGTAAATGACATGAGTTAGGCTGGTTGGCATTTTCCAGTCTTTTGTACTCAAGTTTGAATTCTTGTTCGATAGATTAGAGTGATTTAGAATATCGTTTTGTTAGAAAAAATGACATCTATGCTAAGCTTTCTATACAATTATCCAGAGAATTGATCGAGTGGAATATTTTCTTTAGACACATGCTTTGATGTGTGACTCCTAGTATTTAGGTGGTGTGTGTAACTTCTGATTCGATTTTTTGACATTAGATGTAAATATTCTTGCGGAAGTATCAACTTAAAGTTTCAACGATATTAGCAAATGGCTAATTCTTTGTTAAGAACTGAAATTCCATTGAACTCCGCCTTTGCTAATTCTCCAGATATCTGTTGTAGTTAGAGAACTGACCGATTTGTAGACAAATGAATTTGAGTTTAATTTTATTGTGTCAAAATCAAACTAAGACGAATGACAGATCAACCCTGCAACAACATTTAGGTTATGGAAAAAAAGAGCGTTGTCAACTTAAACATGGTTAGTGGGATAGTGGTACATTAAGGCACATATTGTTAGTATCACGAAGGTTTAACGTTGAATGAAATATTTGCATCTTAGAGTCAAGCATCTAAATAGCAATGGTCTTTCACAGATCAGGCATAAGATATCTTGTTTTTATATTTCAGGTTGAGTCCAATAAGACTATGAAGAGGTTAGAATCAAGAAAGTCTCGTTCGTGGTGGTGGGATAGTCACATCAGTCCCAAGAACTCTAAGTGGCTTGCAGATAATCTCGAGGGTGAGCAACAAACACCTCTTTCGGTCTTATTTATAACTTTGTAAGTGTATCCATTTACTTATTTTTGAAATGTCACTTGCAACAAAGGCATAGGAAAGAGATGTCTAATGATGAATTCCCCCAGTATTACGCTTCATATCTAGTTTCTCATAGAAAATGAAAAATATTTCGCTTGGTTTAACTTTAAAATAACAGCAATCCGTTTATAAGATTTCATTCAGCTCAACCTTGTTAAATTCGAGCGATGGTATTATAATTGGTTTTGACTTATTTACGAGGAATTCTGGGTTAAGTCAGATTTGTTTTACTATTTTTGGCTAAAGCTGTTTTTTCCTATTTTTCTTCTTATTTTTTGATGCAACAATATGAGTGGAAAGTTTATTGTTGTGAGGAAACATCTTTTTGTTGCGTCCTTTAACGACATTTGTGGCACTTTAAGCTGAGATTTGGGAAAATATCAGTACCAAGGATTTCTTGTTGCACATTCTAAATGAAGGCAAGATTAAAATGGGTAAAGCGGACTGCGGTTGTATAATATTAGCGTTACTTATCCTGATCTAACGGTGTAGGGGTTATTCGACCCCAACTACCCAAACTGGTGGAGGAAGTTGGTTTTCCAAATTATGCATGTTTAAATATCTCTAGAGTTGATTTTTTGGTCAAAGTTCTAAAGTGTTGATTGCTATAGTCAATTATTCACCAAAATGCCTCTCAAGAAAATGACAAAACGATCTTTCTCCTCAGAGATGGATCGAAGCATCAAACGGATGTTGAAGCTGATCGAAGAGGATGGGGATTCATTTGCAAAAAAGGCTGAAATGTATTATCAAAAGAGGCCTGAATTGATTGCTCATGTTGAAGAGTTTTATCGCTTGTACCGGTCCCTGGCCGAACGTTATGATCATGTGACAGGAGAATTGCGGAAGAATGCACCCTCGGATCTCCAATCCCAGAGTTCATGCCTTTCTGACATTGGTTCAGAACTGCCATCTGCATTGCCATCTCCTGATGTCCAACCCGGAAAGCTAGGTCGTCGTAAATCTGGCCCTCGTGCTGCTGGCTTTGATTTCTTCCTTGGCCCTGGTGGAAACAGCTCAGAACATTACCAGAAAGAGGGAGATGAATCATTTTCATTAGCCGATTATTCTGAGCCAGAATCTGATGATTCTTCAGTCAACAATTATTCAACTCCCTTGTCAAATGGTCTTGATCAAGGGCAGACGAGAAAGATAATTGAGTTGGAAATTGAGCTTCGTGAAGCGAAGGAGAAGCTCCGGATGCAGCAGGAAGAGAATGTGGACAGTTCATTCACGGGTGCAAAACCTGATCATACCGAAGAATTTCCTGCAAAAATTGCAGAATATGAGCAGGAGCTGACTAGCAGAAATGAAAAATTGCGGGAATCGGAAGAAGAGATTGCCAGGTTGAACATCAAGCTCAAAAGGCATGAGTCTTCGCAACATAGTAATGGTCTTAAGCTTGCACTTGAACCAGAGTCTGCACAACATAATAATGGTCTTAAGCTTGCACTTGAACCAGAGCCTGCACAACATAATAATGGTCTTAAGCTTGCACTTGAACCAGAGCCTGCACAACATAATAATGGTCTTAAGCTTGCTCTTGAATTTTCAAAACCGAAGGAGACCAAGATACATGAGGGTGCCAGAGACAGGGAGATAAATGAACCGTCAGAGATTCATAAAAGGGTCGGTAGGTCGGGAGAAGTTCAAGACAGAGATAGCAAGATCGAGGCATTGGTGAAAGAGCTTAGAGCCGCAAAAGATAGACTTCAACATTCAGAAAAAGAGATTGCAAGTTTGAGACAGCAACTTGAGAGTAATATACCCTCTGAGGAAATCCAACGGTTGCAGGGTCAGCTTGAATCTGCTAAGAAGGATATTTCTATGTGGAAAACGAAGCTCAACACAGAGAAACGAGAGGTGTCCAAGCTGCAGGAACGAATTTCAAGGTTGAAAAGTAGTTTAACAGACCGGGATAATGAAGTCATGGATTTGAAAATCGCAGTATCTGATGCCGAGGAGAAGATTTTCCCTGAGAAGGCACAGGTTAAGGCTGAAATATCTCGATTGCAATCAGAACGGACACATTTAGAGGAGCAGCTGAAAGATTGGGAATCACGTGGCCGTTTGTTGGAGGATGAAATCAGACAGATGAAAGCTGGAAAAGCAGAAATGGAGGAGAGACTTAAAGGCGAAATCGAGCAGTTGAAGGCAGACATCCTTGAGAGAAGCAACCAAATGGAGAATTTAAACAAGACCCTTGATGCAATGAAAACAGAAAGAGATGAGCTTAGCACCAAAGCCGCTATGCTACAGGCAGAGGTGAGTTCAAGAGACGATCAGATCAATGAGATTAACAAGAATTTGCAGCAAATGCAGACGGAACATCAAGAACTGCTCAACGGGGCTGAAGGGGGGCGAAAACTGGTGGAGGAGCTGACGGAAAGAGCAAAGGAACTCGAGGAGGAGATTCAGAGGCAAAGAGTCGTGATCATGGAAGGAGCAGAAGAAAAACGAGAAGCTATAAGACAGCTGTGCTTCTCGCTCGAACATTACAGGAACGGATACCATATGCTTCGACAAGCTTGTATGGGAAACAACAAGAGAGTTCCAGTTTTGGCAACTTAAGCTAAATATAAAACATGCGGTCATCGTTTGTACATTACATGTATTTTCAGTGCCATTTTCTGTAATCTTGGGCCGGAAATGGCCAGCCGAGTGATGAGCTATAGGCCATGCTCTCTCATGGTTGTATGAATGCGAGGTTTATGTTGTGTAGTATCAGTATAGATATAGAAACAGAAGGGTCCCGTCAAAGGACCCATTTGAGTCACTAATTTGCCCTCAAAAATGGTGGAGAGGGCAGATATTTGTGTGATAATTTTAGTTCGGTGTTTGGTTTTGGGGTTGAAATTTGACACAATTGAAAGTGCGTTTGCAAACTTTTGACACATGATTGCACGTTCACTTGCTCTTTAAAATTTTGGGAAATTTTAGAGAGAGGCCCTTGGACTTTGGATCTTGTTCCACTTTACCCGCTTAACCTTTCATTCCCCACTCCCAAGGGTTTTTTTTTTTTTTTTTTTTTTGATCTTTTGACACATATGCTAACAAAACGTCACATTCACAAGAAAAACTAGTAATCTTGGAATTGAATCTTAGACATTCATCGACTCTTTTTGTATATTGTACAAAATAAATAAAAATAACTGTCAATTTGACAGAATAACATACAATAAGTTGAGTGGACAAACCAGTAAACTTTGTGCTGAAATTTATCTTGTAAACAAAAAAGATTTAGCTAAGGTACTAAAATTTGAACTGTTGAATTTCTTTAGCTATTGGCACTTTGCTTGACCGAAAAAATTAGAAAAACAAGTTCCGCGCCAGGAAGGGGTCGAACCTTCGACTTTCTGCTTAGGAAACCGACGCTCTATCCACTGAGCTACAGGCGCTTGTTGTTGATACTAATCCTTTATTAATTATTCTTAAACGTCTAAAGCGCTAACGAACCCACAGAAAATTCTTTTCCTCAGAGGACACAATTTTGATTTTTTTTTTCTTTACGAAACCAAGTATTCAAAATGATGTCATTTTTCGAACGATTTTCTTTCTAGATATTTCTGCTTATGTTCTAAATTTTTCTCTCTTACGCCAGAGAAATTCTTAAGTAAGATTTCCATATCCGACTGTCTCTCACGAAGAAGAAATATTGAGTATAGTTGTCACATTAATAGCGCACTCAAAACGAGTGAGACACTCCACAGACTCACATCCAAGGGCACCAAGTTGGGAGTGGCTCCGACAACCTTACGAAGAATTTATGCTCATGATCGTCCCTTTCGCATTTTAATAAGCTCAACACATGAAACTCATGAAAGATAACCCTAGTGCAAAGATTTTGCTTTGACCTCGGCTATCTTATTTAACTCCATATGGTGACATAAGTTATATTTTTTTGAAATTGCTTAAAAAGTCAAAGTGTTATTTGACGATCAAAAGCACTTTGACTAAGCTTAGCAAAAATACTTCAGACAACTTTTGGGTCTCAAAAACACTCTTCGTTGATAATCATTGCTTACCAAGTGCTTTTTTCAGTCAGTACGAAAAGTTTGTTTCCACAAGAATTTCGACATGTTTATAAGAAAATCACTTCTAACAAAAATGTTTACGAATTAAGTGCTTCATTTAGAAACAGTCACATACTTAACCCAAGTACTTGACTCAAATCGATTACACATGAGATAAGCTGAAAGTAAAAAGTCTCCCATCAAACATTCTAAGTTCTAACAGTTCATCGTAATAATCTCATGATATACATTTTTTAAATAACTGAAAGCGTTTTAAAAAAAAAAAAAAAATTAGGTTCTAAAAACCTTTGGAAATATTCCAAAACAAGCAAATTATTGAAACAGATGGGAAATTAGGATCTCTCCTCTAATTGGTTGGCTCATTGAACTTGAAACGACGATGAAAATTGCGTTTCCACAGATCCAGCAACATCGTGAAAATTATTGGCCTTCAGCCGCAGCAGGCTTCTCGAAAAATGTCTTCTTTATCCAATCAAACGGCTGTACTTTTTTTTTAATTTAAAAAAAAAAACCATTAGATTCATAATATTCTGAAATTTTCTAATTTTTGCTCAATCTACGGATTTACTGGGAAAAAAAGATATAAATAAATATAGGACTTTTTGATAAAAAAATAATAAATTGGGGATGAGAGGAATTGAAGTGGGAAGCCAGAGAGAAAGGGGGGCAGACCTGGACGAACCAAAGAGCTCCTGTGCCGGCGGCGACGCCCCACATGGCGGCGGACTTTACATCGGAGGATTGAGGCACCGGGAGCTTCGAAAAACGCGCAGCGAGTCCACCTGCCATTTTTTGGATCTGAATTCACAAGAAACGCAAAGAGGAGAGCAACTATGACCGCACCACAGCAAAGCGACTTTGAACAGGCTTGCTGCGTTTGAGGTCACCGAGAATATTTTATTAATTAGACTATTTACACATTACATCCACGTCTTTTTGAAATTCACAAAATAACCCCTAAAGTCACTAAATATTATATATTGGACTCTCAGTCCATCTAACTATCAAGTTAACTACTATTTCTTAATGTGTTAATCATGACGATGAGGTTATTTCAGCATGTTTACTTAACAGAAATATGGTAACCAAGGAATTAAAGAACTTAGAATTAGAGGAACTAAGGAAAGGAAATCAAGTAAACTTGTTCTTGGGTTGATCAAATTTTTGATCTTAAGGTATTTAAATACCAGTTTTAAGGGAAAACTCTGCACTCTTCTAATTACATATTCATAAACACAAAGAAAATGATTTTAATTCTTATTATTTTGCAAGTAAGATGCATTTTAGAGAAGTTAATGCCTTATCACACTTGCAACGTCCATTTGGGTACCCTAACATTTGAACATCAAGTTTCTTAAGCCCGACAAGCTTTAATTGTTCAATCACAAAATGCAAATTGGAAATTACGATGGAAGTGCATGTGTGTCATGGAAGTCGGAAAAAGATCCTCTTCGGATCCTTATCCTAGGGATCCCGTGATCTCACCCGTTCATCGTATATCGTACGGTCAGTTTTTGTTAGGTACTATTTATATTTAATTTTAAATTTTAAAATAATTTCTGACCGATATACAATAAACATGTGAGATCACAGGATCCCTAGGATCCCTATGAAAAGGATCCGGCGTGGAAGTCCTCTCTTTGGAGTTTGGAGAGGGCTTGTATTGCTAGCTGAAGTCGACGTCATTTTGCCTGAAATTGGAGTTTTGTGCGTAACCCTAGAATCGGCATTCGATTCTTAAGGGAGCTATCACTTGTACAATAAACAGTTGACAATACGAAACAACAGATAAAAACGACACCGGTAATCAAAAGCACTTTCTGCAAAAGCATTTAGAGTAAGGATGAATCACATTCAACAAAGCACAAGATAGGACCGAAAACGTGAGATTGAATATTTGATTCTGCTACAGACGTCTCAGGTAAACATCATGTTTAAGATATACAATGCAAAACCTATGAGCCAACCCTACAATCTCTAAAATTGTCAAATCGTTCATCCTTGGTACAGATACTGGGTACACTAACAATGTAAAACGACAGAGCTGAAACGGGGACACGTACAAGGAACTACTCGTATTCAACACCTTTGTAGTCCAAGCCTCAAGTAAGAAGCAACATGCCTCTATCATTTTACAGAGGTTGTAAGACAAGCATGCGTAAAGCATCACAGGCATGTTTCCGGCCAACAGAGGCCACAAGGCGTGGACGGGCAAAAAGGGAGACTGCGAGGGAACGAAGGAGCGGTAGAGAGAGTCGGGGCACTTCTATTCTAGCTTCCACAAAACTACTTACCAACGTCAATCTTGAATCCCCGAGAGCGAATCTTTGTTTGTTTTTAAAAACCCACCGAAGGTAGACTTCATCAATCGTCCCAAGCACTATCTGCTGCCCCTTCTTTTTTATTGTTCGAATCCGCAAACATGAACCGATACTTGTCCTCAATGTTTACTGATGTTGGTCCCGCTATTGAGCTTTTGGATAAAGCAACCCTAGCTTGCTTTTGAGCAGCTGCTGCTTCTTTTTCTTTCCTTCTTGCAGTCTGATGGTCAATAGCAGAAGCTGTCAAGCTTATAAACACGTGAAACAAAATTTTCTTTCCTTTATACCCAGATTAGTTAGCAATGAGAAAGAAATTCTGGGCACTAGTACGATGCAAAAGCAATGACCGTTGATAGTATATCTCAAAATCAGTACCTTCCCAGTTGCAAAAGCCACAGCATTCCCAGATCCAGCATCTGATATTGCTTTCTTTATATTTGCCACAAGGAACTACAGAGTGCCATCAATAATCAAGAATAAAGAGTTATATTCTGATAATGGAAGAGATGGTGAGAAGAAGCAGTAAGAAAAGGTGAACTAGGTACCATATCACGATCCGTGTAAAAGGAAGTAGATTGTCCCATTGATCCTGCTCTTCCCGTCCTTCCAATTCGGTGTACATAATCTTCCATGCTCTATATTGAGGTAGCCATAACTGAAGCTTCAGGTTTGCTATTTCACAACAAAATTAATAGCAACTGAAAAGACCAGGCTATTGAGATGCTATCACATGATAGCAAAAAGACTTAATGATCACAAGTTGACGCTATTCAAATACCAAAGGTAAGAATTGCCTAATTTATAGCCAATTCTCAGATAAGTTTCTAAGTTGGGTTAGTGGATTCCAGATATAAATTGACCTAGAGGCCTTCCTTCGCAACCACCTATACCTTTGGAAGATCCAAATTGATAACATGTGCAACTCCTGAGACATCCAAACCGCGAGACGCAACATCAGTGGCAACCTGGACACAAGGTCTCAATCAGATTCATGCTGATTGGTGATGTTAAAGCTGCCTTGTATTCAAGCAGAATCAGACAAAGATGAATAGATATAAAAAAGAAAATATGAATTTATAGAGCGCAAGACGGTGATGTACCAAAATACTGGTAGTGCCTTTTCTAAAATCACGTAGAGCAGCCTCTCTTTCAGTTTGTGTACGACCACCATGAAGAGTAACTGCATGCAAGCCTTGTGCTGCCAAAGCTTCAGCAACTTCGTCACATCTCGTCTACAAGCAAACACAAATTCAATGTCAAATTTCACTTTTGTCCAAAAAGAGTTAGTAACGAGAGAAAATTAAGTCACACCAGATTAAGTGAGTTTGGCTCCTACAAGCAATCCTAAAAAGCATTCTGATAGCATCTTGCACTAAGAAACAGGAAAGGCTTCACATTGAATTTGTACAAAGATTTCACACAATCATGCTCTAAACATATTTCTTCATCAAGCCTTAACGCGAACGCCTTCCATTATTCAGTACACTATTATAAAATGTACCCTAAAAAAATGTACCTTCCTTTCAACAAACACAATTGTTAAGGGCAAGGGATGGCCAGTTCCTTCAACCCGAGATGCCTCTTCTACGAGCAAAGCCAATAGCTGATCAGTCTACACAGACAAAGCATGGTTACCAAATTAAAATGAGACCAATAACTCTCCCAATAAAAGCAGTGGACACATTAAAAACTAGATGGGTAATACAAAAGATAAGCTGTGAAATATGGTTGCCAAAGATGATAAGATCATCGTCAAGCACATAAATATGCCGAGGGAAGTGCCAAATATACATAGAACAACTCTCCGCATCATAGGTCTGGCACTAAATTCCTAGAAACCTCATCCCCACAACAAAAGGAAAGAAAAAGACAAGACAATATCACAGACCGCGGAAAGAAAAAATGTGAAGAAACCAATATTGCTCAAGTCTGGGTGAACCAACCTTCTCACTCTCAGGAACCTTCTCCAAAGTCTGAGTCACATTTGCTGTAGGGCTACTCACTTTTCCCACCTTCACTTGCACTGGTTTAGTCAAGTATTCCTGAAGACAATAAAAGCTAGAATAAGTTTCAATGAAATTGTGCATGACAGTCCTAACTAAACGCAGAGAGAGAGAGAGAGAGAGAGAGAGAGAGCACAATGATCTTAATGGTATTCCAATACTAGCTTTTGTATATTGGAAAATTACAAAGTACAAATTCATTCCAAACTTGGTATAAAATTATGTTGAATTAAAGGTAGAACGCATTAGTTGCATGAAGTGACCACCAGAACAAGTGCTAATGGCTCATATGTGTGTCAGGAAAGAGATAAGGCCATTCAGACCCCTAAACCATAACAGGAAAAAATAAGTCATAGAAACATAAGATTGTAAAATGAGAAGGTTGATTATATGGAAGAATCACAGCGACACCTTTCCATTATTTAGTTACAGAAACTATGAATAATATTATTTAGTTACATAAACTATGACCATGTTCATAAAAGCTCGTACAAGAAGGTAACCTTTACCTGAGCTAATTCTTCGATCTCTTCAGGCATAGTTGCACTAAACAGCAAAGTTTGATGCTTTTCAGAAAGGTTCCGCATCACCTGAAATGGCATCAAAATAATGTGTTCTATATATGTACAAGACAATTTATTTCAATGTTGTGAAATTCTTAACCAATATACATTTTGCTTCTTACAGGAGTCACGCTATTGGTTATACTTTGAAGATGTATTACAAAGTTTATACACACACACACACACATTTATATATATATATATATATATATATATATATATAGCACATAGAGTTGTACAAAACCTAAACCTTATTCAAAATGGAACCTAAAAGTGAGATGAAGATCGTGTATGAGTCTAATCCCCCATGACGTCTATATTGCTTCTATAAATTGTAAAACCTCCAACAGTTTGCTTTTACCAAGCAATATTTTCCCTCTTTCTAATTTCCCCTTTACTGTTGCCCTTTTTTGTTAAATTTTCACTTCATGTTAAACCTGATATTTGATGTTTTAAGGTGGGAAATAATTAAAGAAAGGAATACACATGGAAGCATTGAAAGGAAGAAAAGGTAGGATGCAAAAACTTTGACCTCAAGAAATCTAAAAAAGAAAGCCAAAACCAATCCATGGTGAGGATAATTTTTTTTTTTTAAGGAAAAATAAATAGAAAGTAAAACGCATATTCAGGTCAAAAGTTGATGCAAAACATACCTCTCGTATCTGTGGTTCAAATCCCATGTCAAGCATTCTATCAGCTTCATCTAAAACAACAAACGAAATTCTAGTGATAGAAGTGTTCCCTTGTTGTAAATGATCTATAAATCTTCCAGGAGTAGCAACCACTACATCAACTCCTGCTCGTAGCTCAGACCTCTTTCATTCCATCCAGGTAGAAAGCCACAACAAAACAATTATTAGCAGAGACTAATAAGAAATAACATATTGCGTACGATGTCATAAAATTGAAAAAACATTCCACTAAAAGCATGCATCACTGTTACTGAATGAGAAACAAATGTTGATATGAACCTATTACACGACAAGCATTTATTAAAAACCTAGCCCACATCTAGGAATTATCAAAACCAAGACAAAACGACAAGTATTAATGAATTTCCGGAGTCACAACACCTACAAGAAGATTGAAAACACTTATTGAAATAGAATGTACCGTTATTCCACCAAATCAATTACCTGCTCAGATATGTTGGTTCCACCCACCACAATAGCAGTTCTGAAGGACTCGAGAGATGCACCAAACGCTTTGACCTGTAAAACCACACTTGTAACTTAGCACTTATGGAAAAGTATTATGAAACAAATTCCAAACTAACTCCTCATAAATGCATTGTGATCTTTTGCAGCTTAGGTCACCTCTTTTTCAATTTGTTGGGCAAGCTCTCTAGTCGGAGCCAATACCAGAGCTAGTGGTCCATCACCACGCTGAACAGGAGGTTGAGCCAAGCAATGCTGTACATCGAAAATAAAAAGTTAAAACATCCATTAAACCAAAATCTACTTAGCAGGCACATAAAGTCCAGACTACATAAGAATACTAAATAACAGGACCTCGGACCTGTATCATGGGAATGGCGAATGCAGCAGTTTTTCCACTGCCAGTTTCAGCACAACCTAATAAGTCCCTCCCACTGAGAGCAACCGGCATAGCTTGAGCCTGAATGGATGTCGGTGTGGTGTATCCGTGATTGTCGATATCCTTCATGATGCTAGGGTGCAAACACTGAGAATAGAGGAACGACACGTCCGTTAATACAAACTAGGCTAATCCAAAATAGAAGTAAAACATCCGATTGATAAAACACAAAAATGATTCACCATATCTGTAAAAGACTCGATCGGTGCCGGAGCAGGAGCAGAGTCGGAACTAACAGTAACATCCAAATTAAGCCGCAAACAAACCTCTTCAATCTACAGGCATGTAATTTCGTAAATTTCAGCTAATGGTGACGATATAAACAGACTGATGACGTCAATAAACCAGAAATTTGATTGAAATTGTGAAATTAGCTGTAGCAAGAACCCTAAGCAAATGCAAATGCAAATTTCAAAAAACTCATAAAAGGCAAAGGCAATGATTGGAGAAGCGTCGAACCATATCAGGATTCATGCGGAGGACGCGGTCGGAGGGCTTCCACTGAGGGACGACGGAGTCCGGGCGAGCTCTGCTGGCCTGGGAGAGAGCGCCGGAGCTCCAGCGAGAGGAGGCATTGGAGTGAGAGAAGCTGGAGGAGGAAGCACCACCGGACGACGACTTGTCGTTGCTGAAGTGAGAGTTGGAGGAGGAGTAGGAGAGCTTGCTCTGATCGTCTAGGGTTCGAGACGAGGCTTCGGTGGCGGTGGTAGTGGTGATTGTCGTGGTGGTTCTTGAGCTCGACCTCAGGTGCGGAGGCACATACGACATCGTTTTGCGGGAAGTTTTCTCGGGAATCGGAGAGAGTGTTTGATTTTACGGCGACGACGACTGTAAGTGGAGTGAGTGAGCAAATGAAAAACGAGAGGTGCGTGGTAGGCCAATCTTTCTCGCTAACTTGCGCTTCTGTGGGCTGTGGGCCCTTTTCGGTCTTCGCGGGCTTAGATTTTAGTCCATATTATTTATGGGCCAGAATAACAGTGTATTTTGGGTCCTTCTCCAGCAAATTTGGACCGGCCTACTCAGCCCACATTGGAATTGGGTTTTTTTTCTTTCTTGTATCCCAAATTTGGATTTTGTCTCCAATGAGAGCCACTTCATTGTACATGTTTTTTGAAATAATTTTACCATTAAAGGCCATTACTAGGTACTTGTGGCCCTTGAGGACCAAGATATAGGAGAAGCAAGGCCAGCCATTTTCCCATTTGACTTTTTGGTTTTAAGAATATTTGGCTTCGAGAATGAGTGATTGTCCTTCTTCCACCTCATCATTTAACCTATTGTGGTCCACTTGATTTATTGACTTCGTTTTATTGTCGGTTTGCAACCCTGATGCCAAAAGACTCACGTAAACGAATGCCAAAGAGCCATTATTGCACTACTTACCTATGAGCACATCTATATGTAAGTAGCATGAGAGCTCTCAGCGACATTAATAGCTCAAGTGCTCATTAGGATAAGTCTCTTTAAGAATGTTTGGTTTTGAGAATGAGTGATTGTCCTTTTTTCACCTTGTCGTTTAACCTATTGCAGTCCACTTGTCAATTTGAGACCCTGATGCAAAAAGACGCACGTAAACGAAAGTCAAAAAGCCATTATTGCACTACTTATGAGCACATCCGTATGTAAGTAGCGTGAGAGCTCTCAGCCGCATTAATAGCTCAAGCGCTCATTAGCATCTGTCTCTATAAGGTTGAAATATGAATCATATCAGGCACATTAGGTCTTCTATAGCAGCAGTATGAAGAATTCAATTTGATTCCAATTTCATATGTATCAAGCTCCTACAGTTGGCCAAAATAAAGAAATTGGTTTTATGAGAGTGATTTCAATAATTTAGTTAATATATTAAACTTGATACAATAAATGATCAACTTTTTTTTTATGGAAAGAAGTGGGAATAACCAATAAAAAATATTAGATGAGTCTCACAATTAATAGATAGATTTCACATATTAACTAACACGTATGTAAAAATTGTGTTATGTTTGATTTTTTTTTTTTATACATGAATCAAACTCGCATAAACCAAACAAAAAGCAACAAACTTCTATTCACAAAGGTATCCCGTGCGATTCTAAAAATGTTATTTTTACCATCTATTTGTACTACTATTTATATCATCTCTATAATAAAAGTGAACCCACATGAATTGATGTGTCCTATTTTTATTTAAGAGATTTTACAAATAAATGATATAGTGCAGAACTATTCGTTGGAAAGAGATCATCTCCCGATTTCTTCCATCAAATTCACTCAATCCTTAAATTCGGACTCTTGAAATTTGATTCAGCGGCTAAAATTATTATAACTTTTAAAAGGATTCCATATTTGTAGTCATTTGATTAAACTTCAAAAATCCAAATTTAAAAATTAGGTGAATTTAGTGGAAAGGATCAGAAGATGACCATTTCCCTCTTGTTCGGCTCACATAGCTTGGTAGTACGATGTAATCATTTGTATTCTTATTTCCGTGTGCTCCTTTTTATTTTTATTTAGCATAATGAGTCCTAGTCATTTAATTGCCTACGAGTGGTGTCGTAATTGATGACGATTGACATAAAGATGGATGTGGACGGTTTTAATGATTAAAAAATAGTAATAGTGAAATTAAATTTTGAATCAATGATATGATTTATAATGATTGAATTATTATTTAACTGTTCGTAGTATAACATTTAATTTATAAATTTAATTTAAAATTTTAATCTTCCTAATATTATTTGTGAAAACAATAAAGAGAAAATGGTTGGGTTGAGGAGGTGGTAGCTTGAGAAGGTGAGTTGCGTGCCATTCGTTGAACATCCGTTTCAACGGTGGTAGGTGAGATGATATGAAAGCCTTGGATGTTTGTATCTTATCTTCTTGTTCGTCCTTCGTAGCTGATTTGTGATGGTTTTGTTTCAATGATTAAATTTAATTAATTGTGTCCTTGTAGGGTGTATCTTTACATAATTACAAAATTATAGTGTCAACCGGTCATATAACTTTTACTTTCTTGGGCGACATTTTTCTTGTATATCTATTTGTAGTATCTTATTAAAATCACAATAATAATAATAATTTTTATTACATATTAAACTTTGATTTGTTAATAAAAATGATCGACATAAAGAAGTACAAGGATCGCGGACAAGCAAAATCTCCCTTGCTGCTTTCTACCCAATCTTTATCAAGTCTTGCTCACATTAGGAAATGTTCATCCGAAAAAAGTATGTGCATTTGTGTTTTATCCTACTCGAACAATATTTGACTACTTAAAGATGAGTAGAAATTTCTACTTACAATTTCTCGAAATTATTTGTTGTCAATTTATAGAACTTCGTGTTTATAAGCATAACTGTTCATATTCTCAAATCGGGATGTTCGAGATCACCCTATAAAGATTGCCTCTACAAAAAATAAATTAAAACTAAGATCGTTTAGTCATCAAACGATTTAAAACAAATGAACAGTATTGGTAAAAGCATTAGGAACCGTTTATGTATTTGTTATAATAGATTGACTAAGTCATTAAACTATTTAAAACAAATGAACAGTATTGGTAAAAGCATTAGGAACTGTTTATGTAGTTGCTATAATATATTGACTAAACGACCTTAATTTTAATTTATTTTTGCAAAGATGATCTTTACAGTTTGATTCATAGTATGAACGGTTCTGATCATAAGCACAAAAATTTATGATTAAAACACTAAGAGTGTTGAGTAGGAGTTCCTACTCATCTTTGTCAAGTATTGTTCATCTTACTTCGCTTTTACCAAGAGTAAGTCTCTTCGTGTAATATAATATAAATAAGATCAAGGGACAAATTCTCAACCTTTAGATCTAGTTTAATCCAATGGTCCCTAAGTAAAACTCAAATGTTCTCGGTGACATGGCAATGACATTAAAATGAATAAAAAACTAAGTAATTTTATTTTCACCAAAATTCAGGAGATATGACTTGTTCATTAAAATCCAAAAGTCATGACAAACGCCTTCATCAGACGGTGCTTTGATTTGATTCGTACAAGATTTTAAAGCACACAAATAATATCAAGCTATTACTCGATTTCTTGAATCTTTTATTAAGTAAACAAAACTAAATCCTAAATTATAAGTCTTCATTCTTAGTATCTTTAGGCGATGAATTAGGTTGTGGTAAAACTTTGATATCTTAAATTTTACCTAGTTCTTAAGTTGTAATTATTACTTATAAGTAAGAGGTCTTAAGTTTAATTCTCACCAAAGACGAATTTAAACCGCATAATTACTAGTCAATTGTGAAATTAAACTTACTCTTTTATTTAGTGTAGATAATGTCATTTGTTTAAAAAAAAAAATTGTGATTATCACTTTTTATTTCTTTTGGTCATAGTGTCCTGAAGACTTGAACCAAATTTGGTGGTTCTGGCAAATCACCAATCACCAAAGCAATGGAGGCCTTCCTCCCTCCCTCACGTTTTGCAGATTTTATTTATTATCTATGCATCTTTTATGCCATTTACTGCTTGAAATTCTCCACATCACTTTTAATTAGGGAAACGGGTCCTCTTCGGATCCTTTCCTCCTAATCTTAGGGATTCACCAATCCAGATTATTGAAATTTGATCCAATGGTTACAAATAGGGGTTCATTTTAAAAGTTATAATAACTTTAGTCATTGGATCAAATTTTAACGATCTGAATTGATGGATCCCTAAGATTAAGAGGAAGGGATATGAAGAGGATCCCTTTCCTTTAATTAAGACTATTGGATGCTATAAAAATTTAAAAGTTAAAAAGAAGTGTAAGCATATTTGTCAAAAATTTTGTCTATTGATCCTATCTAATATATGTATAATCACAAATATGAGGACGGAGGCATAGCACCACTTTTTTTAATAATTTTTAACACACGTTTTTGTGGGCCCACTTTGAAATGTATTTGTTTGGACCCAATTTTACACTATAGGCCCGAGTAATCTTGACCGTTGAATGAGCATAGCTCTCAACCGTTGGATGGCAGAATTGTTAAGATAATTGAAGGATATATTGTGGTTTTAATCATGATATTATCTTTATATTTCCTTGAAAAAGATGAGGTGCAGATTATATCTTCAACTTGAAAGTAAGCAGAATAAGTTCAATTTGATTTGGGATTCTTGGAGTTTAGACGCGTGACAGATTGGAGCATCAGAGCATTTTATCAAGAGTCTTAATATATTGCGACGTTGGTTGGCAAACGGATATTGATTGGCAGAGAAGATTAATGCATACATTTAAATGGGATACCAAGATGCGTAATCAACAGAGAATCAACTCCACGTGTGCTTGGAGTTGGTTAGCCGTGCATAAAGGTTATTGGCATATTTCAAATTAGGATGCTTATCAGCATAAAGATATGTGCTAATAATGGGTATATGCTATTAATTAGCAAGTGGTGGTGTCATGCTGGTAAGTGATAAGGCATAACAATCTTTTGTTTTGCATGAGACTGTTATGCAGGAGGAAGCGTTGGTATTGACGGCAGTTTTACAACATGACGGCCATCAAGATGATAGTCTTATAAATATGAGATGCGTAGAAAACAGAAGGGGACCTTGAATTCAGCATACAATTGTCCTGCGCAAAACCTCTCAAACACCTTGAGATTTTTTCTATTTTCTTTTTTCCGCCGACACATCTTTAGTTTGGATAAACAGCACTGTGAAGGCAACCGGCGAATATCTTCAGTTTGGATAAACAGCACTGTTGCCGTAGAATCAGCCGTTCCCGAAGCATCTTCAGTTTGGATAAACAGCACTGCGTCGAGGCCGACTGGTTATCTATCCAAGTCTCGGTCGAGAAGGATTTTCAAATCCTTATTGGCAGAGGTCATCTCATTAGCCTTCTCGGCGAA